GTGGTTGGGTTTGCCCAAGTCTAAATTAAAAAAAAAAAAAAAAAGAAAAAAAAGTCACAAATATTTAAACTTTTTTTAACAAAATAAAAATTTATTTTTATATTTAAGCTAAATTGCCTTCAAATTCCTTCAAGCTTGGTTCAGTGAGGTTGCCAGCCCCCGCAGCGCTGTCGTAGTGTTTAGCTGTGCCCGGTGAGGAGCCGGCCCGTGCCCTGGCTCTGCCACTAGCTGTGCCGGGGAAAGGCAGCTACATCCCGCGGGCTCCGCTGCTGTGCGCTCCTCCCGGCCTCTGACATCTCCTTGATTTTAAAATGTGATGTATGTGGATGTAATTAAACTTTTTTTTTTTAATTCTTTCTCTGAGGAGCAGGAGCTCTTGCACGTTACGGTGACGAGTGGTTTTATTGTCTGCCAGCAACAAGGCATCTCTCCCAGCAGGCGGAAGGAGGGCAGGTGAGCGGGCTCTGTGCGGCACAGAAGGGACACAGCCCCTTGGCAAGTGGGGGCGTGCAGGCAGGCACCTGCTGCCGCTGCTGGCAGGGGCCTTTCTACCCTTCCCCTGTGGCATGGCCGAGGGGTGCAGTGGGCTGTTAGAGCAGGGCAGCTGCGCCAGAGGAGCCGGCCTGGGCAAGCATGTCTGGCTGAAAAGGGGTTAGTGCAGGCGAGCGCCAGCCCTGCCCATTCCTTCCTCTGCCCCGGGCAGGGTGCTGAGCCAGGAGAGTGACTGCTCACCAGCCCTCACGGGTGGCAGTGGCATGAGGCAGGGCAGCAGCTCCAGGGCTGAAGGAGCCAGGGCTGGGGTTTGGCCAGGTCAGCGCCAGCACGAGCCATGCGGCAGAGAGAGATGGGGACGAGCAGGGGACAAGGTGAGGGCTCCCTGGAGAGCACTGCCTGTTGGGGCTGCCCCCCACGTAGCTGCCCACCATGTGGCTGCCTGATGTGGGTCCCAAGTGCCCAGTGCTGCAAGGAGCCAGGCTCTGTCCCTTCCCTGCCACGCAGACCCTGCTGGGAGAGACCCTTGTGCCTGGGCTGCCGTACGTGGCCAGGGGAGGCTGGATTTTAACTCAAACTGAAGACTTGGATCATTCCTAGTGTGGCTGATGAGGATTTTAGTGTGAATGTTCAAGTTTTTTTCCTTGCTTCTTACGTTCCTGTTTAAAAATAAAAAGACTGTGTTCATATCTGCCTTGCCTGTGTTTGGTTCCTGAGCCCGAGCAGGGCCAGGCATTGCTGGTGCTGTACAGGGCACTGCTTTCCAACACCCTCCAGCGTGTGTGTTTTCACTCCCCTGTTCAAAGACAGGTGCATGGAGAATATTATTTCTTCACTTTTCCACCCCCCTTTGCCTGTACTATGAGCAGTGGCAGTTTCAGCACAAGGCTGCACAAACACGCTGGAAAAGACAGGGAAGAGAGAGAAATTTTAATCTGTTTAATTCCTACAGTCGAAGGATTTTCTGAAACCCTGCATCAGGCTGGGGTAAGGATTTTTTGGGGTGGTGGGAAACATGGTAAAATAACACCCTTAATCCAGCTGGAGCACTCCAGCCCTGCGCGGTGCAGAAAGGGGAGTTGTGCTGAACACTGGTGCTGTTTGCAGACTTCCCAAGGCTGCTCCAGCCCAGGTCTGGCTCGGGAGGGCAGGGCAAACCTTCTGCTGGGGGCTGGCTGTGAGGGCCAGCCCTGGGTGAGCAGTTCCCCCTCCCTGGCTACAGGGTGGTTCCAGGGGTTGGCACTTGATCCCAGGGGAGCAGAGAGTAAGAGAATTATACCATGGCTGCAGCTGGCACAAAGCTTTACTTGTGTTCAGAGGTGCCGCTGTTGTTCAGGCAGCAGCAGAGGAGCGTTCCCCACCAGCCCCAGCTGGACACTGTGCAGTCCTAAAAATGTTATTTCACTCCTTCACCCGCTGCTTTTTCCTCTTCCTCTTCTTGGGAGCTGCTCCTGGCTCCGGTCCTTCTCTGTGCTGCGGGTTCTCCTCAGCTGCTGCTGGCAGGGAGCTGTGGACAAGAGCGACAGGCTGAGCCCCCGCTCACACCAGTACTGCAGCTCCTGCCCTCTCCTCCTGCATCAGCTACAGCCAGGTCCCTCTATCTTCCTTCCTCCTCACGCCAGGAAGGCAACACCCTCTCTCTGGGTGCCCCAGCAGCCCCCAAACCCGGCCACAGTCTTCCCCAGAGGCTGCTGGAGGCAGACCGAGCCCCCCAGGCCCCCCTCCTACC